AGAATTGAGTGAGCCTATCCATCAAGTCTCTCCTCTTCAGTATCTTACACGTTGTGATCATATCTCCTCTGATGTTTGTCTCGTCTAGTGTGTGACCAATCTGTTTGTCATTATATTTTATGAAAAATATGAAAATATTCCAAAATATTTCTCATGAAGCAGCATATATTTTTAAACACCGAAGAGGGATGAATGATTTACTTCAGTATAAAGTGCATAATGTATCCAGAAGCAAGGATGATTGAATCCCTAATTATCATCCCTTCATCTTCAACGATTGAACCATCACTCGCAGGCCATTCAATCTGCTGGTCTTAATTAACTGCCTTAATTAAATGACTCATATTCCCTTTCACCTGAGTAAGCAATGGGGTGAAGTTGATGGATAGGTAGATAGAGTGACTGGTTTTTGTGCCTGGATAGGGGGGAGGAGAGGGTAGAGGAGGAGGGGGATAGGTTAGGGGGTAAGAGGCAGCATCTAGGCCATTATTAGAACCCCCTGAATTCATTTTGGTTCTGATGTCATGTGTCTTATGCGAACTGATTGGGCTTTTATCATAATATTTCCACACGTAGCAACACAAGATCTGCTGGAATGAGAGAATGTGTTTAGGACTAATAAATATGTATAATTTTGTATATTGTCCACTATGCAGCGAAATAGAATAAACACACACACACACACACAGTTTCAAATGTAGATATGATAGAGCCCAGTAGGCTCAGGAATCTGTACACCAGTTGATTGACAGTTGAGAGGCGGGACCAAAGAGCCAGAGCTCAACCCCCGCAAGCACAACTAGGTGAGTACACACACATGTAGCTAAGAAAGAATTAGTATACGAGATGTCACACAATATAAAAACTTACACGTGTGAAAGCTAAGTAAACATCTTAAAATGTAAACATAAGAAAACGTGGAAACCATCACAACACTCAACCAAGCATGATGGGAAGGTGGGGACACAGGGAGCTGACGCTAGCTATGTAAACACATACAATCGACCTGGGGGGAGTACATACACACTAGCCTAGCACAAACACCCGTTTGTTTATTATTACACTCGTGGTAATCATATAACATGATACAAACACACGAGCAATTTAAAAGTGGAATACAAACACATAAGACAAAGTCCGACGGCTCTAAGAAGCCTCCTTTGCTAGGTTCAGTTCAATTGTACATTAGAGGATTCAACGTTTCAATCTTCAAATGTACGATTTACGGAAAATTCCGTTTTCCATTTGTTAAAATCTAATATATTATGTCAGGAGGTATTAGCTCTGATTAGGCTGTTTTTAGATTTATTTGGGCTAGGTTTAGTTAGGTTAGATTGGGTGAGGTTAGACATTTGAAAATCCGTTGACGAACGCTTTTGCGACCTGAATCCTTCCCTATCATCTGTCACGGCCACATCAATCTCCACAGATTGGGTGAGGTTAGGCAGATTTGAAAATCCGTTGACAAACGCTTTTGCGACTTGAATCCTTCCCTATCACCTGTCACGGCCACATCAATCTCCACAGATTGGGTGAGGTTAGGCAGATTTGAAAATCCGTTGACAAACGCTTTTGCGACTTGAATCCTTCCCTATCATCTGTCACGGCCACATCTATCTCCACCTAACACGATTGGGGTAAAAACCCAAGACACTTTGTTCCGCTGCGGTCCTGTGTGCGTGTGTGACCGCAGCCAAGGGGTTAATGTCTTGCTGTGAGCACGCTCTGTGACCGATCCTGCAGTCACCTCTCATTCTGTTATCTTACGTCAGTTGCCTGGTGGAATCTCATTAGTGGCCATATACCATATTTTACATCAGTTGTCAGGTACGTTCTCAGACTGTGTCAGTCAGTAGTCTGGTAGAATCTGTCTGTCAGTAACCTGGAAAAGTCTTCGCGTATGTCTTTAGCCTGGTAGAATCTTAGCCTAAATAAGAAGCCTGGTAGAATCTTATGCAAGTGAATAGGCATAATCTTGCATCAACAGACATAATATGAATCTTACATCAACAAGCATAACTGAATCTTGAATCAACGGCTTGGTATTACCTATGGCTGCTTCACTAGGCTTCACGAATACCAAGTCAAGTTTTTACGAACTACTCGTATACACAATAGTGACTGAGTGGACAGCGCTCGGGATTCGTAATCCTAGGGTCCGGGGATCGATCCCCGGCGATGGCGGAAATAGTTTCTTTCACCCTGATGCGCCTGTTCACCTAGCAGTAAATAGGCACCTGGGAGTACCTAACTCATGGCGCCTGATAATCTCATTAATCCATCACGTTAATGTGATTGTATCGTACAATAATATTAGTAATTTGATTATAATACGTCATCGCGACGTGCTGGAGAGTGTTGTGTAAGGTAGAGTACTAGGAGGTGCAGGAGAGTGTTGTGTAAGGTAGAGTACTAGGAGGTGCAGGAGAGTAGTGTGTAAGGTAGAGTACTAGGAGGTGCAGGAGAGTAGTGTGTAAGGTAGAGTACTAGGAGGTGCAGGAGAGTATTGTGTAAGGTAGAGTACTAGGAGGTGCAGGAGAGTGTTGTGTAAGGTAGAGTACTAGGAGGTGCAGGAGAGTGTTGTGTAAGGTAGAGTACTAGGAGGTGCAGGAGAGTGTTGTGTAAGGTAGAGTACTAGGAGGTGCAGGAGAGTAGTGTGTAAGGTAGAGTACTAGGTGGTGCAGGAGTGTTGTGTAAGGTAGAGTACTAGGAGGTGCAGGAGAGTGTTGTGTAAGGTAGAGTACTAGGTGGTGCAGGAGAGTGTTGTGTAAGGTAGAGTACTAGGAGGTGCAGGAGAGTAGTGTGTAAGGTAGAGTACTAGGAGCTGCAGGAGAGTAGTGTGTAAGGTAGAGTACTAGGTGGTGCAGGAGAGTGTTGTGTAAGGTAGAGTACTAGGAGGTGCAGGAGAGTAGTGTGTAAGGTAGAGTACTAGGAGGTGCAGGAGAGTGTTGTGTAAGGTAGAGTACTAGGTGGTGCAGGAGAGTGTTGTGTAAGGCAGAGTACTAGGTGGTGCAGGAGAGTAGTGTGTAAGGTAGAGTACTAGGTGGTGCAGGAGAGTGTTGTGTAAGGCAGAGTACTAGGTGGTGCAGGAGAGTAGTGTGTAAGGTAGAGTACTAGGAGGTGCAGGAGAGTGTTGTGTAAGGTAGAGTACTAGGTGGTGCAGGAGAGTGTTGTGTAAGGCAGAGTACTAGGTGGTGCAGGAGAGTAGTGTGTAAGGTAGAGTACTAGGTGGTGCAGGAGAGTGTTGTGTAAGGTAGAGTACTAGGTGGTGCAGGAGAGTGTTGTGTAAGGCAGAGTACTAGGAGGTGCAGGAGAGTAGTGTGTAAGGTAGAGTACTAGGAGGTGCAGGAGAGTAGTGTGTAAGGTAGAGTACTAGGTGGTGCAGGAGAGTAGTGTGTAAGGTAGAGTACTAGGTGGTGCAGGAGAGTGTTGTGTAAGGTAGAGTACTAGGAGGTGCAGGAGAGTGTTGTGTAAGGTAGAGTACTAGGAGGTGCAGGAGAGTAGTGTGTAAGGTAGAGTACTAGGAGGTGCAGGAGAGTAGTGTGTAAGGTAGAGTACTAGGTGGTGCAGGAGAGTGTTGTGTAAGGCAGAGTACTAGGAGGTGCAGGTGAGTAGTGTGTAAGGTAGAGTACTAGGAGGTGCAGGAGAGTGTTGTGTAAGGTAGAGTACTAGGTGGTGCAGGAGAGTGTTGTGTAAGGTAGAGTACTAGGAGGTGCAGGAGAGTGTTGTGTAAGGTAGAGTACTAGGAGGTGCAGGAGAGTAGTGTGTAAGGTAGAGTACTAGGTGGTGCAGGAGAGTGTTGTGTAAGGCAGAGTACTAGGAGGTGCAGGAGAGTAGTGTGTAAGGTAGAGTACTAGGAGGTGCAGGAGAGTAGTGTGTAAGGTAGAGTACTAGGAGGTACACTGGGATACTGTTTACATCATGACTGGGCAGCGTGGCAGCCATGCGGGCCAGCCCAAGCTGTTCCCACAAAAACTGGCTTAAATCCCCACCAACGCCGCTCACGACCCCAAACATGCCGTGCACCACAGCAGAATAGAATTCACCACAGCAGAATAGAATTCACCACAGCAGAATAGAATTCCATTTACAGCCAAAAATACACGATTTAAAAACCCAATAATAGGTGAGCGAGGGAAGAGTCATTGGTTGAGAAAGGACTGGAGGCAGGCATTCACAGGCTGAGGAATATGGTTTAATTAATTCTTAATTCCTCCTTCCCTATTGAATTTGAGTTATCTTGAGATGATTTCGGGGCTTTAGTGTCCCCGCGGCCCGGTCCTCGACCAGGCCTCCACCCCCAGGAAGCAGCCCGTGACAGCTGACTAACACCCAGGTACCTATTTTACTGCTAGGTAACAGGGGCATAGAGTGAAAGAAACTTTTGCCCTTTGTTTCTCGCCGGCGCCTGGGATCGAACCCGGGACCACAGGATCACAAGTCCAGCGTGCTGTCCGCTCGGATTGTCAAAGACCAGTTTCTGGAGTAGGATGTAATGAACCCTTCAACCAGGCTAAGGTAGACAGAAGTGAATAAGACGAGAGACTTGATAACTTACAAGTTTCCAAGCCTTTATATCCTACTTGACCCCTCAGAACATTATATGACCCTAAATCATCCAACATTATGCGTGTAACTCATCTCGTATGTACTTTGACCTGAATAAACATTAGATTTGATTTGATTACGCCAAGGTGTCAAGATAACACACATAGACGAACGTTAAGAGCAAGAATGTGGCTACAAGAAGGTGGGTGGACACGACCTAACCTTCCCGTGATGACGCAAGATCTCAAGGCATAAAGGCCAAGATATCTTGTCCCAAGACTCCTACAAGATCCTACACCATGCTAATCTTACGGATTAATAAATATGCGTACGTCTGCAGGTGACAGGAGCATCTCAGACATGTCTAGAAACTGAAAACATGTCAATCTTGGTCCTGATTTGGGTCTACGCTGTAATGACTTGGATCAAGGTTTCTCAGATGGTGTTTTTACCTGTGAAGAGCGGCGAGGAGGCCACCAGGAGGAGGAGGAAGGGCTGGGAGAACATGGAGTCGACAACGAAGGTCGACTAAGAGGAAGGAGAACGCGTCGCCAGGAGCACAAGGAGACACCTTCCTCACGTCACCGCGGTCGGTGATAGACTGGCGCCTCTCTTGTCAGTTCCCTCCTACTCTCCCCCCTCCAGCCCCATGACCCCCATTCTCCTGCTACATATTTACATATACTCACATATTCTCCTACTCACACATACTCATATATTCACCTACTCACACACTCACACATTCACCTACTCAAACACACTCACATATTCACCTACTCATACACACTCACATATTCACCTACTCACACACACTCACACATTCACCTACTCACACACACTCACATATTCACCTACTCATACACACTCACACATTCACCTACTCACACACTCACATATTCACCTACTCACACACACTCACATATTCACCTACTCAAACACTCGAAAATTCACACACATTCACATACACACTCACATATCCACACACACACAAAGTCACATACATACCCACATATTCACCTACTCACCTACTCTTGCGAGAACATATTAACACACAGTAAACAATACTCACCCAAACATCAGAACAAGAACTCCACATCCTTGACAAACAATAGACTTGTACACACCTTTTACCACCATCTTGAGGTTATCTTGAGATGATTTCGGGGCTTTAGTGTCCCCGCGGCCCGGTCCTCGACCAGGCCTCCACCCCCAGGAAGCAGCCCGTGACAGCTGACTAACACCCAGGTACCTATTTACTGCTAGGTAACAGGGGCATTCAGGGTGAAAGAAACTTTGCCCATTTGTTTCTGCCTCGTGCGGGAATCGAACCCGCGCCACAGAATTGCGAGTCCTGCGCGCTATCCACCAGGCTACGAGGCCCCCATAACAATAACAAACACTTTACATCTCAACTGTACATTAATATGAACTCATACTTACTCATGCTACTCATTCTTCATGAGTATGAGTCGTCACAGGAGAGTAGAAGCCTCATGAGAGGTGAGGAACGTGAGGAAGCAATCAAGAATTGTTATAAAATTTTGTTATATAGTTTACTGAAGCGAATTTATCAGTAAATATTAATTATTGTTGATATGTCGCGGCGGTGAACTGGTTTCTGATAATGCTATTGATCATTCCTCAGTGTGTAATGTTTTATTGATCATTCTCCAGTGTGTAAGTTTATTGATCATTCCTCAGTGTGTAAGTTTATTGATCATTCTCCAGTGTGTAATGTTTTATTGATCATTCTCCAGTGTGTAAGTTTATTGATCATTCCTCAGTGTGTAAGTTTATTGATCATTCTCCAGTGTGTAAGGTTTTATTGATCATTCCCCAGTGTGTAAGTTTATTGATCATTCCTCAGTGTGTAAGGTTTTATTGATCATTCCCCAGTGTGTAATGTTTTATTGATCATTCCCCAGTGTGTAATGTTTTATTGATCATTCCCCAGTGTGTAAGTTTATTGATCATTCTCCAGTGTGTAAGTTTATTGATCATTCTCCAGTGTGTAAGTTTATTGATCATTCTCCAGTGTGTAAGGTTTTATTGATCATTCCTCAGTGTGTAATGTTTTATTGATCATTCTCCAGTGTGTAAGTTTATTGATCATTCTCCAGTGTGTAAGGTTTTATTGATCATTCCTCAGTGTGTAATGTTTTATTGATCATTCTCCAGTGTGTAAGTTTATTGATCATTCTCCAGTGTGTAAGTTTATTGATCATTCTCCAGTGTGTAAGTTTATTGATCATTCTCCAGTGTGTAAGTTTATTGATCATTCTCCAGTGTGTAAGGTTTTATTGATCATTCCTCAGTGTGTAATGTTTTATTGATCATTCCTCAGTGTGTAAGTTTATTGATCATTCCTCAGTGTGTAAGTTTATTGATCATTCCTCAGTGTGTAAGTTTATTGATCATTCTCCAGTGTGTAAGGTTTTATTGATCATTCTCCAGTGTGTAATGTTTTATTGATCATTCCCCAGTGTGTAAGTTTATTGATCATTCCCCAGTGTGTAAGTTTATTGATCATTCCCCAGTGTGTAAGTTTATTGATCATTCTCCAGTGTGTAATGTTTTATTGATCATTCCCCAGTGTGTAAGGTTTTATTGATCATTCCCCAGTGTGTAAGTTTATTGATTATTCCTCAGTGTGTAAGTTTATTGATCATTCTCCAGTGTGTAAGTTTATTGATCATTCCTCAGTGTGTAAGTTTATTGATTATTCCTCAGTGTGTAAGTTTATTGATCATTCCCCAGTGTGTAAGTTTATTGATCATTCCTCAGTGTGTAAGTTTATTGATCATTCCTCAGTGTGTAAGTTTATTGATCATTCTCCAGTGTGTAATGTTTTATTGATCATTCCCTAGTGTGTAAGTTTATTGATCATTCCTCAGTGTGTAAGTTTATTGATCATTCCTCAGTGTGTAAGTTTATTGATCATTCTCCAGTGTGTAAGTTTATTGATCATTCTCCAGTGTGTAAGTTTATTGATCATTCCCCAGTGTGTAAGTTTATTGATCATTCCCCAGTGTGTAAGTTTATTGATCATTCCCCAGTGTGTAAGTTTATTGATCATTCCCCAGTGTGTAAGTTTATTGATCATTCCCTAGTGTGTAAGTTTATTAATCATTCCCCAGTGTGTAAGTTTATTAATCATTCCCCAGTGTGTAAGTTTATTAATCATTCCCCAGTGTGTAAGTTTATTAATCATTCCCCAGTGTGTAAGTTTATTAATCATTCCCCAGTGTGTAAGTTTATTAATCATTCCCCAGTGTGTAAGTTTATTAATCATTCCCCAGTGTGTAAGTTTATTAATCATTCCCCAGTGTGTAAGTTTATTAATCATTCCCCAGTGTGTAAGTTTATTAATCATTCCCCAGTGTGTAAGTTTATTAATCATTCCCCAGTGTGTAAGTTTATTGATCATTCCTCAGTGTGTAACGTTACTGATCAACATTCCACACCCATTACACCTGATTAATCTTTGTATATGCTTCATCCCTATTTACGTCCCCTATCCTTCACCCATTTATGGGCTATTCATGCCCGTGCCATCTCTTAGGTGTCTTAATCATCTTACTGTCCCATCACTTGAGAATGAACCATGTAGGCTCGAAACGTTGTGTAAATTTAAAGATGACATTTGGAGAAATCCTCTTCCAATTAAACTAAGATGCAAAAGCACTAATTAGAGGGATAGAAGCTAAACTAGCTAAACACAGATGCCGAAGAAATATAAGAAAATTCACTTTCGCAAACAGTGTGGTAGACGGTTGGAACAAGTTAGGGGAGAAGGTGGTGGAGGCCAAGACCGTCAGTAGTTTCAAAGCGTTATATGACAAAGAGTGCTGGGAAGACGGGACACCACGAGCGTAGCTCTCATCCTGTAACTACACTTAGGTAATTACACACACACACACACACAGTAAGTGGCCCCTTCGGTATAAAAATACGTAATTTCAAACTACAAATATGTGCAGTGAACCAGAATTCAGCTCCAAAATAATGCATTGGAGTCAGATTTGAGATATTTTTTATATTTTTAAAACTGCTGGGGGATTTGGGCAAAATATGACACATCGCCGTTTTCAGTAATTGACATATTTTTTGTTTGTGGCGGGGACCTCGATAGAAACCTAACGTATATAAATATACACAGGCTGCCTGTTCACAGACACAATGAATTATGAATTTTCTAATGGCCATAGGGTAACGCTTTTTTATGAAGTTTACCCTACTTTTACGTTTTCTTTTTTTAAATATTCTCTGCCACATTTTCTCTTATCTTTTGGGGTAACTATTTTTACAATTATAATATTTATTTATTTATTTATTTATATATCAAGAAGGTACATTGATGTTATGGGAGTACATAACATTGATGTTTTTACATTCTTGTAAAGCCACTAACACGCGTAATGTTTCGGGCAGAGGCCAGATTCACGAAGCATTTACGCAAGGTTCGTAAGTGCTTGCGAAAGTGCTTCGTGAATCTAGCCCCAGGTTCGTAAGTGCTTGCGTAACTGCTTCGTGAATCTGGCCCCAGAAAATATTAGTGTCAGACCTCGAAGGAAGAATTGAAACAGGAATTTCCTTAAGTACTTTCGTATTTAATAATACATCTTCAGAAGGATGATGATGATAATAATGTTTATTCACGTAAAAGTACATACGAATACGAATATGTACTGCGGCTAGGATTCGAACCCAAGCCAAAGCGCGTACGAAAATCGAGATAGTGCTTAACCACTGTGCCACGGGGACTGTTCTCCAGTGGTGTAGTGGACATGTAGTAACGTGTAGAGAGATATGTAGAGAGATATGTAGAGCGTGTAGCTGAGACGAGGCCTGGAACATAGAGCTTCAGCGAGGCTGGGGATTGAGAGCTCGAATGCGAGACGAGAGCTGTAGCTCCAGTGTGGCCGGAATCTGGTTCTGTAACGAGGAAGTAACATCTTGCCACAGGAGAAGATTTAGCTACTAAGAACGTCCATGTAGCACGGGCTATGGTGAGCCCGTAATGCTTCCATTCTTCAAGATAATTTTACAAGCTTCTTCTCAATTTGCCAAACCAACCAAGGTTATTGTTATGATCTCATCAAAACAGATCGCAGACAGCCCAAGCTCTTATTTAAATGAAAAAGAAACGAGTTTTATACACAATTTTGCATAATATTTAGCTATAAATGGATAAATTGTGGCAAATTACGAAACAAAATGGCGGCCGCCGAGAGATCCGGGGCCTTAAGGAAACACGGCGACACATGCCTTAGGCTCATACAACGAGAAAGCTGAGTGGTGGTCCCTCAGATGCTCAGCCAATCAGCGACGAGCTTTCTGCGAGGCTGTCGTGGAGCTGAACCCAGGGAGCGAAGACCGGCTCAGTGTACAGCCAGACTCCAGGCTGGGAGGTTGTACCATTGACGCTCTCGCCGAAACCCAACAGAGTTGAGCCACGTGGAGGATACGTGTGTCGTCAGGATACATGGAAGATAGTCGCCAGGATACATGGAGGATATGATGAGGCTTCAGTCAGCCGGTGATACATGGGAGCTGAAGGTAATAACATCATTAATATCTAAGTAATATG